TTTTCATAGTTATAATTCCTTTGCACAAAATAGCAAAATAATTGGAATAAACTTAAAAATTTTCATGCTAAAAGGAATTCACATAAGAAAAATAATTTTTTTGATATTCCTAAAAATTCTCTTCAAAAGTTAAAGATGAAAGCTGTTTGGGTGAAGAAAGAGGATATGAAATTGTATGTGCCTATTGATGCTATGGAATTTGTTTCCAATAGGTCATTGGGTGCAAAACTTTCAAAGTAAATCCTAAAAAGGTTTTATGGTCATGGACTATGCTTTGGTGTCTATCTTATTTGCATTGGACCATATCTTGTAATTTATGATTTTTTTTTTTTTCATGAGAAAGTGATGATCATATTTTTCTAGTCAATGCATGAATGATGATTATTTCTTTTGAATTAATTATTTTTTAAGACAAATTGGGGACACATGATTATTTGATGAAAAGATTTTTATTGTGTAATCTATATGTTGAAAGACAATTTTCTTTGTTTATTTCTTTTTAGAGATGAGTCTCTTGAGTTTATATTTTCATGTGCACTAGCCTAACTCTAAAAAAAATTAGATGAAAATCACTGTGAAGTTGACTAGGTCATATTGCTCATAAAAGCTATAAAGGTTATTTTAAAAAAAAAAAAAAATAGAGCATGTATTTGAAAAAAGAAAAAAAATAATAAGAAATTTTAGCATTAAAAGAAAAGAAAAAATCAAAAGAATGCTGAAAATCTTTGTTAAGGAAAAGGCTACCTATTGAGACTAGTTCGAAAGCTCCTACTAGACTATGAAGAGGAGCTATTTGAGTAAATAGAAAGGAGGAGATAAGTTGAAATAGAGAATTTTTGTCTACTATTTAGAGTGAAAGCCGCATTGCTTAGTAAAATTTGCTCAAAATAATTTTATCATGATACTTTTCGATCAATATGATTTAAACAGTTGGTTAATGTGATTTGATTGAAATTTGATGAGGTTAGATTGCACACACACATATATGAACTTGCTAGGCAAATTTCTAAATCTTCATAAAAACTGCAAGTTGAATTTCATATTGTGATTGCATGCTTGAGAATTAATTTGATTGAATAATTTGTGGTGTCTAAAAATTTCGTATTTTTCAATTCTCTTAAATTCTTCAAAAAAATTTAGATCTCATGTATGCTTGAAATTCATGGAAATTGCTATCTCATTATTTTTTGTTCAAATATCAGAAAGATAAAAAATAAAAAAAAAAATGAAAAAAATTCCATAAATATTTTCCTTTTAGTTTTTATTAGGAATTTTCATTTTTAATTGGATGGAGATATCATGTGTGTGATTTTGAGCATGATTGGTCTTATATTTATCTTGTGGGTGGAACATGTGTTATGTTGGATACTTGTCTTTGATTTCATTGCTACTATATATCATCTTGTTTTTGTGCTTATTGCAATATCTTATGCATGAATGATAGTTTTGATATCTCTTCTTGTTAATTCTCTCTTACTATTTCTTTTATTTCTTTGTTGAGCTTTATTTGTCAATTTGTGACAAAAAGGGAGAGAAGTGTGCATATTTGACGGGGAGAGTTTCTAGAATTGAGGGGGAGATATATATATATATATATATATATATATATATATATGAATATTCACATATTGATTTATGTTGATTATTTATCTTTCTTGATTAAGCTTCACGGGTAGTTTTGTTGAGCTAATGTGCAGATTACAGGTTACTATATGTGTTGAAGTTTCATGAGGTTCAAGAAAAAATTCCGCAGTTTATTTCTTTGACAATCATTGTAATTTGTAATTTGTTTTTTCTGCTTGGGCAAATTACATGTTGTTTATAGGCTGTTGTCATGAAGTTGCCAAAGGGGGAGATTGTGAGATATATATTTTAGGGAGATTGTGAAATATATATATATATATATATATATATATATATATATATATTTTATATTAGTTAATTTCGTTGTCAAAATAAGTTTGATCGAGTTGTAATATTTCAGTTCAGAATTTCAAGATTGAATATCAGAAGCGGATTTGAAGAAGTTCAAGTGTTCGTACTTTAATACATTCCAAGATGATTAGAACAATGCTTTAGAAAGATATGTGAGTTTGTAAGAACACTCAGGAAGTTTTGGAAGTTTGAAGTGTTTAGAAAAATTATATTTTGTCCATTTGGTACTAGTAGCTAAAATCTAGTACTGGTAGCCAACTAAAAAATTCACTTCTGTCCATTAGGAACTGGTAGCCACTTTGGGAACCGGTAGCCAAAGCTTTTGTCCATTGGGAACCGATAGCCACTTTGGGAACCGGTAGTCAAAGTGCGTAGGAAACCTTTCAAACCATCTTGAACTAGTAACCAAAATCCAGTACCGGTTCAAGAAGTCCTGATAGTTTCCAAAATTCAATTTCCTAAGCCGTTTTGATTCCTTTTTGGACCAAACTTCCTTCCAAGTCCTATGCACGAAATTTTTTATATTTTCAGAGGGATTAGGACATTCATTACTCTATTTAAACCCTGATAGTCATTTAGGTTTATTAATGGCTTCTAGCAACAAAAATTCATTATTTTGAGAGAGCCTTTTAAGAGATATTTTTATTCAGAAAATCAATATGATTTTTCTCATTTTATTTTTGAGAGCACACACATAAACACAAGAGTGATTTAGTAGTATTGTTTTCTAGCTCATCAGAATTGAAGCATAATTGAAGATTCAGAAATTTCAAAAAACAGAATTTATTCGTTCTTCGTCAAATTCAGATATTGAAGAAAAAAGGGGTGAAGCAATCACAATTTGAAGGGGTCAAAGCATTCATGGAGTGTTGTTTGATATACTTGCAACTCTTCTGTAAAGATCGAGAGTAAGCCTGAGGTCGAGAGCTGTCGGACGGGGGAGTCGTAAAGTCAGGGATTGTTAGCAATTGGTTTTTGGTAGAACGATAGGATGTGAGCCAGTGTCAAAGTTCGATATACTTTGCTTCAAACATAGTGGATCATTTATCTCAGGACTGCAAAGTCCAACGAGGTTTTTCCTGTTACAATTGGTCTATTATACTAATTGGGGTATCTTAGCTAAAAATCTTGGTGCAATCTCTCCAACTCTAACTTGCTTTACTTTTCAATATTTATATTTATGATTGTGGATGTTAATTGATTATATAATTTAATCAATCATAAATTGATCAAGTTGACCTAATAATCAGTCGATCTCATCTTCTAGGTTATTTATCCATATTATATTCCATAACCATTCCGCTGTGCACAAACTCTTAACAAAACAAACCAGGAAGGTAAGTTACCAAAACATAGTTGAAGACCTTGAACCGGTTCAGGGTGGTTGAACCGGGTCAGGTTGATTAGTGAGTTTTCGTGACAAAACATCTTTGACATTTAAACCGGTTGAGGGTGGTTGGACCGGTTCAAGTTGGCCAGACTTGAAAAATAACAAAAGTCTTAAAAGTTGAACCCGTTCCAAGATACTTAAACTAGTTCAAGTTGGACAGAATGTAAAGCCTTCCTAAAAGCTTAAATTTCAACCTCCCAAGTGTTCTCACACACTCTCTTACTTCTTTAAAGCATTGTTCTCATCATCCTTAAGTGTATTAAAGTATAAAGACTTGAACTTCCCCAAATCCGCTTCCGATCTTGAATCTTGAAATTATGAACCAAAATTTTACAACTCGAATAGACTTGTTTTGACAATGAAATTCGCTAATTACAAAATATATATCTCCCAATTAAGTCATGGAATTAAAGTTCAAATTCTTAGGCCGAATATAGTAACACGTGTGTCATAAGACTTGGAACAAAGTCTCAATTACAAACATTACTCCTATATCTTCACTGCATAAATATATTAATGTAAGCTTGAGTTTTCAATATAGAATGAGCGTGCGGTAATAATTCTATATTGATCCAAACCAATCCATATGGTCCCATTTATAATAAGCATTCAGGTAGTATAATGTACTCCTCCATGGATATCTGGTAACCATGTATGTAGGGGTATAATCGGTGATTTAATAGCAAACACAATAAAAAAATCCAATATAAAATATTATTTTCAATGTCACATGATACGATTGATTAGCTGATGTTTCAAACTTTAATGTTGGTTCATTAGAACCTGATATACGGACACCTAGAACTCCCATTAAGATAAAAATGGAACCGTTTTCATCAGTCCGACCACTCCAATTTCGACCCAAAATAAATGTGTAAACCACGTTTTTATGTTTTATAAGAGGCATGTTGATTATTTTGATATTTTTATTCGTGCCCTAAATGAATTCTGATTGTTTTGAATTTTTATATTCAGTTGTTTTTATTAATTATGTTTCTTTTTCTATTTTTCAAAATTTTAAGAGATAATTTATTTTTTGCTTTATTTCTTAAAATATTCTTTTTGTTTTTAGTTTCCTTATCGTATTAGGTTTTCTCTATTATAAATATGTATGTACTACAAGAGCATAATTCAACCTTTTGATTAATAGTATTTCAATTGTTTTGTAATTTTTATTTTACTTTGTGTATTCAAAGTTAACCCTTGATAACACTTATCATCTATCTAGTTAAGATGAGAGAAGTTGTGATCCCTGTTAATGGTGTTTCAATAGAACACACATCTTTGTGGTTCTACATGGACTCCAAAAAAACAATTTTGTACAATTCAACCCGTATAATAAGTCCTGTGTTTTTCTACTGCACATGCACAAGCGCATAAACACAGAGAGAGATAGAGAGAGGATGTGTTATGATGATGTATAGACTGTATAGTTTCTACCTGCGAATCTATACATTATGAATGAGTTTGAAGGATTCAATGATGCATGAACAAGCTAGCTAGCTAGACGACTAATCATGTATACTATTAAGTGCTTATTGAATTTAACCCAAATTTTACAATCAAACTTACCCACTCCAAAATAAATACATAAAAGCCCATTCACGAGAAGACTTTTTTACTTAGATAGAGAAGCAGCGATTTATTTATTTTTGTTTCCATCCGACTCGATCTCTTACCAAAAAAAAAAAAAAACCACTCAAACACACATACACACATATATTTGTCTAATCATTCGAGCTCTCACCAAGAAAGGACGCATATCTAGTTTTCTCTTTTTAAATGTTGTTCCATTTTGATAAAAATATTTTTAAGCTCTTGAGCTTTTTTAACCATCTCATCTCGAAACTTGTCCAACTTGGAATCTGATTGCTCGAGAGACTTCAAAACATTTAATACAACAGCGATTTCATCAGCAGACACAAATGCTTTTGATCTGGTCAATTGATTCAAGCAATCGCTGATGGCACGGTTCAAACGGTTCAAGTCTTTGTTCAGAGCTAGGCTGTTGAAGCTGAAGGCATCTGAAAACAAAAGAAAGAGACGAAAGAGAGAATATTAAAAGAATAAGGAATTGAAACTATTCACATAACGAAATTATCTTCACACTATCACCCTTAACTCGAAGATTGAAAAATAACACTAAATAGATTATAATGATCAATATTTAGGTAGGTTATTATCAAAATAGTATCCTCCGTAAAACAAGTCTATGCTTCTTTTCTTCTTCTTCTACCCTTTTTTTTTTCTTGGCCTGCAAGCATATGTTATATCATTTATGGAGTATTTCATTTTTTTATTTTTTATTTCTGAAGGTTAAGCAATCACAGGCATCCTGAGATTTAAAAATAAACCAAATAAACATCCCTACCTGGAACGCTAAGGATCTCAGACCCTGCTTTTTTCTGATGCGATACCGTATCATCCCTACCTGGAACGCAGGATCTCAGACCCTGCTTTTTTCCGTATCATCCCTACCTGGCACGCTAGGTGTATTTCATTTTTTTATTTTTATTTTTTATTTCTGAAGGTTAAGCAATCACACTGCGCCCATGCATCCACTGAGATTTGAACACTCTGCTTTCTGTTTCTGATGGAAAGAGTTGAATCACTAAGTCCTCTCAGGCCACTATACTGATCAGTTCAAGCCCCACAAGACAGATATTTTTTATGGGAAGAGTTGAATCACTAAATTTTGAAAGAAAGTAATTTGTAACGAAAACTAAAAATAAACATCCCTACCTGGAACGCTAGAGATCTCGCATCCTGCTTTTTCCTGAACGCCCTCATTCACCTTCGGTCCTCTAGGTGGTGATTGTCCTGATACTGCAGATGACATACGAATAAGATTGGGCTTGAAAGAAGAGGCTTTGGGGTGACGGAAATATAACAAGGTAGACTTGGTGGGTGTTATGGCAACCGAGGCGAAGCTAACGGCCATGTGTTTCGTTGTCTCAAAGTCAAGAGAAACGATGAGGCGATGGAAGTCTCAAATGCATTCCCTTGTTGGAATCATTCGCTTCAAGCCCTTTAAATAAAAAACCAGCATCTTCTCGAGTGTAAATTTAAATTGAAAATAAAATATACTAAATCAATGATGTAAGACACGCAAACCATTTACCGGAAAAAAAAGACATGAAAACATACAAAATTAATAATATTACTCAGTTCCAGTCTCGTCATAGCAAGTCTTTGGAAAGGAGTGTTTCAAGAAAGGCGTTACATTTTCTATTTTTCATAAGGGTAAAGTAAAAATAATAATAATAATAATAATAAATAAATAAATAAAATAAACTATTTCCAAATTTATAAATAAATCCTTTGAACTATTTTTGTACACAATATTCCTGAATTATCTCATTCTTTTGTAAAATGTCCCCACGTCTAAGTTATTTTTCATCAAATGATCATAATGTCCCTCTTATTGAATTACAATTATTCCAATTTTCATATTAAAATAAATTATAAAACAAATTCATACTATTTTGAGGACATTTCCTCCATAAATTTTTGCGTAAATAATCTTAAATTATTTGAATAAAAATCTTAAGTAGAAAATTTTAAAACAATTTAAGTATTTTTTTTAATTTTTTTAATAAAATACTGCATGAAAAAAAAAGTATTTTTTATTTAAGTAATTTATTAATTATTTATTAATATATTGTATGAAAAATAATTTTTTATTTTTATTATTATTTTTTTTATGTTAAAAAAGTTTAAACTGGGTATAATTTTTTTTATTATATATAGTAAAATTTTAATAATAAGAAAATTTTTTAGAAAATGGTAATTACAATTCTATATTTTCTCATTTTATGATAAATTGATATTAATAAAAATTAAGATATATGGTATAACTAATATTTAAATAAAAAAAGATAAGAAAGATAATTTAAAAATAAATGACAAATCTATACAATTTGTAAGAGTATAATGAGTTTTTATCTAATTTTGAGTTTCAAATTTTTTTTTTATTTATATAAAAACAAATTTTAGAAGAGAGTTTCCATAAAAAATATAACATATATATATTTTTTATTAAGATATTATATATATATATATATATATATATATATATATATATAAAGTTATTATTATTATTTTTAAATAGTTGCCTTATGAACATATATTCCCCAAAAAATACAATGTTAAACCGAGAGAGGAGGGGGGGGGGGGGGGGGGGGGTGTGTGGTTGTTGAATTGATCAGCTTAAACTTCTTCTTGTTCATGACAAGATCAATAGATACACACTTGAGGCACAGAACACAAAATATACAAGGAAACCTGTCAATAGGGAAAAATCTTTATTCTTGGCCTTAGCAAATAAAAAATTCCACTAGCTGTATGCAAGTAGTTATACACGCAGTTGTCTCGATCACACTCTACACACACCCTTGTACAAGTTAAGACACTAGTTTTTACAGCTTCTATACACACACTAGCTCAACACAGTGCACACTGCACTCTCCCTGTTCTAAGCACCCTTGTTAAATATCATCAATATTCAAACATACACAAAAGATAAGTGTAGTTGTGCAGCTCAAAACACCAATCTGTAGCCTCTAGAACCCTTTCTGCAGAAATTAGGGTTTGAGGGGGAAATCTGGAATTTCGTGTCTCAAAAATTCTGAGATCAATCTCATAACCTTATATCACCATTACAAACATGCTTAGATAATAAACATTACAAACATGCTCAGATGATAAACATAATAAGTACAACATATACATATCACTATAATCACATATAGGCCTTGACAGTAACCCTGAGAAGGTCTCTAAGGGCTATAAATCTCTGAGAAAGAAGTTTGGTCATAATATCTGCAAGTTAATCTTCAGTGGGCAAATATGTGATATCAATAAGGTCTTTTTGAACTTTTTTTTTGAGAAAGTGATACCTAATGTCAACATGTTTGCTTTTCCAATGAAAAGTTTGATTGTTACTGATAGCAATAACACTTTAATTGTCACAAAACAGCTTGGGAGGACCTGAGAATTGAAGATCAAGTTCTGTAAGTGTTGTCTGCATCCAGAGAAGTTTTGAACCAGCTTGGGAAACATTCATATACTCAGCTTTTGGGGTAGAGAGGAACATTATATCTTGTTTTTTGCTCAACGAAAACACTGTATTGAAGCCAATGAGATAACAGCAGCCTGAAGTACTTTTTTTGTCAGGTAAAGAACCACACCAATCAGCATCTAAATAGGATTCAATAGGCAATGTAGGTGGAAATAAGTAGCGAAGGCCATAGGAAAGAGTTCATTTGACATATCTGAGGATTCTTTTGGTAGCTTGAAGGTGAGAATCCTTTGGATTACTTTGAAACCTTGCAACCAGTCCCACAGAATACATGATATCAGGCTTTGAAGCTATGAGATACAACAAACTTCTAATTATAGACCTGTAGAGAGTTGAAGGAACAGCTTATGTGGTATATTCAAGTGTAAGCTTGGTGTCAGGGTATAAAAGTGTGGAAACCACCATACTTTTAGCCATGTTGAACTTATTAAGTAGCTCAGTAGCATACTTTTGTTGAAAGATGAAGATCCCTTTGTATGATTGATGGATTTGAAGGCCTAAAAAGTATTTGTGAGTCCCCAAAAGAGACATTTCAAACCTTGTCTTCATTAGATTGGCAAATTCTGAGGTTAATGAAGTGTCTGAGCAATAGAACATGATATCATGCATCAACATAAATTTGAAGAATGAGGAATTGAACTTGATTAATTTTGAGGTATAAAGTATTATCCACATTGCCTCTATGAAAACCTTGTTCAACTAAGAAGTTGTGTAGCTTCTCATACCAAGCTCTGGGGGCTTGTTTGAAACCGTACAAAGCCTTACTTAGTTTGAACACATGAGAGGGGAGTTGTGGATCTTCAAAGCCTTCAGGTTGTTCTAAGTAAACTTTTTTATTGTCTCCAAAGACCACATTAACACCATCAAATTCCTTCAGAGATACAAACTTTGAGCCATCACCTGTCATATATCTTAAACAATCACTATCAGCATACCATCTGTCATTGGTATTACAAGCCTTAAAGGTTGTATAAACTAATATACTCAGTGAATTTAATTTCTTAGGTATCTTCATCATCTTAGACTTCACAAGGAATTCTTTGTTTATGACTTTCTGAACTTGAGGCAAGTCTGATTTCTTCACATACATCTTTGTAACCCTGAAGTTCCTCATGGTTGAAGTAACAAAGTTACCTTTGTTGAATCTCACGGTATTATAAGTGTTGTCAAGTATATCGTACTTAGACCTTGGTGGTTTTATAATGGGGAGCCTTACATACACTTCACCAGTGGTGGCCTTTACAAACACAAAGTGAGTTTGTTTATTCTTTGCTGTAGTGTCATAGATGTATCCAATTCCTGTTTTGCCAATTTACTTTGTAGAATGCTTCTAAATTTCTACCATCTTCAAGGATCTCTCTTCAAGAATATGTGAAATCCTTCTTTACATCTTTTGGTAGTCCATTCATTGTTGGATTGAGACTTCAAAAGTTTAAAGATGGTTAAGGAGATTGAACACAGGGCTGACAGCTTAAGCCTGAAGTGCTTAGTAAGCAATTGTTTGGACCTTAGCAATTCTGAATCGAGTTTCTTGATTTGAGACTTCTATTAATTATACTTCATAGCAAGTCTTTCACATTCTTTAAGGATTTCTTCAACTTCAGTATTACTATCCTCTTCAACTTCATCTTGAACTTGAGGGATTTCAAGAATGGCCATGAAAAGACATTCACCTTCTTGAGTTTTTTTTGGTTTGTTTTCTTCAGGAACAACATCCCAGTCTGAGATAAGTGTCTTTCTTCCAAATCTTCCTCTGTTAGTGACCTATTCATTCTTTCTTTTGTTTTTCCCCTTTGGGTTTGGACAATTAGACACATAATGACCAGGCTTACCATAACTATAACAGGTTAGGTTTTGTGCTTATGCTCTCTTCTTGAACCTAAAATTTCTGAATTCTTAGCTAAGTAGGTTACTTTATCTTCTTCAAGATCATTATCTTCAGACTTTGATTCAGTTTCTTCAATCACTTTTTTAACCTTAAGAACAGCTTCTCTTCTGTGTTGAGTTGGAATACCAATTCTCATCTCATAAGCTATGAGTGAGGCTTGTAGATCATCAATCTTCATTAGTGACAAATCTTTATCTTCAAGAATGGTGACTTTGGCATTGATTATAGGGGTGAGAGACCTCAATATATTCTTGCACACTTCAGAATCTTTGATATCTTCACTAAAAGCCTTTATATTATTGAGATGTTACTTGATGATGAAAATGGTGTGTATGAGACCCTCATATAATCCCTATATCTCATCTCTAGTTTTTACTTGTGGAGCATGTAATTAGTTACTTTGCTTTTAGAGATGTGATACCCCTCGGATCCGAGACACGGGTTGATCAGGCCCAGGCCCAAACCCGAGGGATATCGAACAATTAATATGTTACAACGAAAACAGAATACAAATTGAATTACGAAATAAAATTTAAGCTGAAAGAAACTAAATATAAATCCTTTAAAAGTAAATACTTAAATCCCAACAATATAATTATTAGAATCCGATAGTCCAAACTCCATAAGTTTAACAACTCAGGAATCCATCTCTAGTGGACCCCTAATAAAAATCCAAACTAAATTAAAACAACTGAAAGAACATCCTGATAAGCTATGGAGAGAAATCCTACATCGTCGGTAGAGTGAGTAGAAACCTCTGCTTAGGACGAACACGTCTAAGTCTAGAATTGTCGTGTACGTGAAAAATAGAAGTGGGTCAGGCCCACGTGCAAATTCTATACTTCTACAATTCAAACAGAGGCCCGATACGCATGTACATCCTAAACAATTCCATAATAGCTAATAATCCGTAAATATATATATATATATAGTCACACTAAAGGACTCTCACTGGACTACAAGCTGGTCTCAACCTAAATAGAGCTAATCTGCTAAAATGCACACGAGGTGGGCATGTGTACCTAAACCTAAACAGGGTACACCTCTAACTATCGTAT